GATCTAGAGAGGACATATGAAAATATATAACAACAACAATAACAAGCTACAAATAACAATTCTGACAATGTAGTAAGAAGAAAATATATACATATATATATATATTTATTTATGGAAACTACATACGTACTAAATAATATAGACTTTAAAAAACTTGTAAAAAGCATTTTTAGAAACAATATTACGCTCTACATGCTTGCATGCATACATATGTACATACCTTTTAATAAAATGTGTGAGTAGTTAAGTACTAATATTTGATTATTTGGCAAATAAAATTTTTTATAGTATTTTTATACACACCAGACATGAAAGATTAAAAAAATGCTTAAAATGATATTAACTATTCTATTAAAAAGAATTATTTTATGAAATTCTAGCAAGTGTCTTTGAAAACTTGAAGTCAACAAAAAAATTCGAACCACTACTGCCAACCACTCCAATCGAATCTCATCTAAAGAACAGAGTTAACATAAAAATGTTGATAAAAATGCGTAACGTAAAATCTAATGTAAAAAAAACGTATAGCGAAGTTCATAAGAAAAAAATTAACATTGAAAAGTTAAAAAATAATGGCGATGAAATTAAAAAAAAAAAATTTTTTTTAATTCGTAAAGAGTTTTGCCCAGTAGTACTCTTACTCTTTTTTGCTGTTACTCTCTTTTGTACAATTTTATTGTTGCTAATTTTTCTAAAGACCAATATGCATAAAAAGTAAAATAGACTTAAATTGAAATGCTTATACATTTTCTGAATTTATGAAAAATTTCACATATGTATATATATATTTTTTGAATTTATTTAATGAAATTATTTGCTAAACAAAGACTGAAGTGAAATAAAAATCGCTAATGTTTTAAATAAAAGAGTGGTTCAATTCTGTAGGCAGCTACTTAAATAGTTATTTCAAATGCTAAACTATTTTGCGTGTTAAAAAAAAAGAAAGTTTGCAGCTAATACATTAATAAATGAGCAGTTTTAAAATTATACATTCCCTTTTTATCAATAAGGCTTTTTTAACAAATTAAAGAAAAATAAAAATGACAATTTTTTTAAATTTCATTAAAAAATAATAAATTTAATAAGCTTTTGAAAACAAAAGATTCCCCAATATTAAAAACGACAAATACTAAAAAACCCAAGAGTGCTATTTATAATTCTCCAATCTACTTTTGCTTAATATTTTGTTCATTATCTAACTAAAAAATATTTTTGATGGTAATCAATTGCCGCAAATGATTCAATTCTTTTAATTAATTGAATTTAAGACTTCCTTGAACATTTTTTTTCCCGCGTGCAATATCTATAAAAACATAAGATAAAAATTTTTTATTGGTAATATTTAGTTAATTTTTTTAGTAAAAATTCTTATGGTAGGTATGATTTATGTATGTAAACATTTTAATTTTTAATCTTAAAATTTTTGTAAACTTATGAAGTTTAGTTCCTTTTTATATAAAATTTTGTGGTTTTTAATTTTTTTTCTTTAATTTTTTTTCTTTAATTTTGGGTTTTGTTTAATTTGTTTTTTTTTATTTATTTTTTATTGTTTTATTTTTTTAATTTAAATTGTTTTTTTTTTTTTTATTTAATTTAGCTTTTTTTGTTATTCAGTTTTTGAATTTTATTTCATTACTTGTTCTTGTAACCAAATTTATTAATTTTTTTCCGAAAACAAAATAGTTTAAATATTGCTTAAAAAAATTAAAAAGAATAAGAAAATAAGTAAAATTTACACTTGGAAGTTTGGTTTAGATATTTTTATAAATAATAAATTAAGAAAAAATTCCCCCAATGAATCCAACATTCCATAAAAATTCAACCAGTATGGCACTATTTTTTAAAGCAAATTCTCCGCAGAGGTTGTATTTGAAGTACGTATGTATGTAACTTTTTTATGCTGTTTAATTTGTTTAGAGTACATTTTTATACATTTTTATATATTTAATAAAAAAAAAACGTTTTGTATACCAAAAGTGTACAATAAGCTAAGAAAATTTATAGAAATATAAATATGATGAAATAAAGTTAATTTTTATGAAGTATGTAGTATATTAAAACCGATGACCGATTTTCAAAAAATTATAAATCATACAACATTTTTTTTTATTTACATATATTTGCTTATTGAACGAAATCATAAAAAAACCTAAGTGTGCACACAAAAAGGCATTGCAAGAATGCTAGCAAAATGTAAAATTTAGTAAGTACATAAACAGATATACATACATACATACACACAAATTGTGCAGCGTAATTTTTAGCGTGTAAGGAATTATATTTTTTAACGAATGAAAAAAGTAATAAAGCATATACATACATATTTATTAGCGAAAACCACAAAAAAATGTTGTTTTCATTCTAAGGCTCCATATCAGCAAGCACAAAAGAGGGGCGTGGCAAATAATAGCGATTTTGGAAAATAAAGCAGGGATCGTAACGGTCATAATTTTTATTATAAAAGTCACTTTTTAATCGTTATTAACAGAGTTTTATTTTTTGCTCGAAACAACGATTATTTTTTGATTCTAATTTTTTGCTCGGAAAATAATCGTTACGTTTTAAGTATTATTATTTGCTCAGAAATTAAAACTTAATTTTTGCGTATGCGTATGCGCATGCGTGAATAGATAGGTGCGGCTGCATTGAACTTTTAACGCCACTGTGTCTGTGGTTTTGTCGTTGCCCTTGCCTTTGTTTCTGCCCTTGTATATTGCTCTCTGTATTTTCATTACCCACTCCAGTGGCGTTAAAAATTTAATGCAGCCGCCCCGTCTATTCACGCATGCGCATACGCATACGCAAATTAAAAAAAAAAAAAATTCAATTTCAGCTAAAAATTTCCTCATTCGATTTTGAGGAAAATTAAAGTTTTAATAGAAGAAATATCAAATGGATGAAGGATTTCTAAAATTCACGCATTACAACAAACATTTCGAGTATCACAATCGATGTTGCGTCCCGAGAGTTTGAGAGTATATCGGCCTGAAAAAATTAGCTTACCTAATATTTGTATATTTGGCAGAAACCTATAAAAGTTTAGCTCTTTAAAAACCGTTTTAGAAATTTTCCAAATCCTAAACCTTCTTCAGAAAAATTCGCGGAAAAGCAGCAAGTGCTCGACGGAAATTCCGCTATTTTTAGGGGCTGAAAATTTCAAAAACGAGGTTGAAATTCGTCAGCCATTTGAAGTTATCAACTTTTTTTCCCAAAACCTAATTAGGGAAAATTTTAGACCAAAAAACTAATATTAACCTTCTCGAAAGTTCTTGGATATCTTTTTAGCGGTTATTCCAATTTTTTTAGGAAGTACTTCGATCGACGCGCCATCTCATTTGGAATCTCATACATATAAAATAAACGCATTACAACAAACACCTCGACAATCATAGCGGAAGTGGCGTGCCGACAGTTTGAGAGGCCTGTAAATCTGTAATCTAAACTGGCGCAAAAAAATCGTCACAGCGGTCAAATGTTAACCGATTACAGCAATATCGGTATCACATAGAAGAGCATCACATAGCGGTGCATCCTAGACTGCTATCGATGCTAAACGCCTAGAGGCCGGCCCAGTATACAAATACATCTCAGATAGCGGAAGTAAAAATTGTCGCATTATTCAGTCTTTCACTATTACATACTTGCGATATTTCTTCGAGGATTAATAAAAAAAATATCATATTCATAAATAATCAAAATGTAACGAAAAATAATTAGAAATTGCGATTTCCAGTCTTGTTTTTTTTTTTCTTTTGGGCCCTTTGGGCCCTTTGGGCGTTTTATTATTTTCATTCAGCTATATCTAGATTCTAGATATTAAACATTTCATAGGGGAAAAATTAAATGAATGTAAAATATGAAAATTGAGGCCATAATACGTGTTTTTTGTTCACTATAACGGATTAGGACTTTTGGACGCGAGATTTTCGGCTATGGAGCTGTATGGGTGGGTTAGGTGAGAAAAACTATAAAATTTCGATCTCGATATTGTACTCGTATCACAAAAAAAGTATTTTTCGAAAATTATATTTATCGATAAATTTATCGGCTATTTTATCAGTATACTTACCAATATCGCTGTCGTCATTATTGGCGATGAGATAATCGATAATATTATATATTTATCTATACACACTTACGCACATTTATCGAAACCGTTAGCTCTATTTTAACCGATATACATACATAAGAATTTAACGACCTGTTTATTGATGAATATATCCATATTTCTATTCCCACATTCATCGGGAAAACTATCGATAACTATGGTTATTGCTATAAACACAAAAAATGCGATTCCTTGTATTGAAATCAAGTTTAAATCAATAATAAAAACTTGCCCTCACACTCATTCCATCTCCTAATACATACTCAAAGTCACGACATATGTGTGTATGTACATCGACGCACCAGTTTAGAAAGGTTATCACTACCGGCTTATCACTTTCGCGAGCGCCAGCGTCATCTCTCCACACAATTCGCTTGCGTTAGCGGCCTTCCCGCAGCATCTTTCAGTTTTGATGGCGTCCGTTTTTCATTCGCGTAGCCTTTGGCAGGCTAATCAGCACCTCTTTGAATAGCTTCAGTCACTTTGCAAATTTTTTTCCAACTTTCATCATATTTTTTTGCGTGACTAAAAAATTATAAATAAAAACAAAAAAAGAAAACCCCAAGAACCACCAGAGGAACGGCTGAAAATAGGCGTGGACGCTTAAAATCTTACCACCATCAGCAACTAATCTCTATATCTGCAAGAAAACAATTCCGATTTATGCTTATCAGCTGTTTTCTTTCCAAAAATTAAAAAAAAAACAAGCCAGTAGCAGTTTTCGCCTTATAGCTTCAGGCGAGTAGTTAGTGTCGAGTGAAAGCGCAAGTGAAACACGCGTAGCGGCTAGTTAAAATCTGCGGATCATTCACGTGCTGTGTACTGTGCAAAGTTCTAAAATAGCTAAATATTTTTAGGAAAAAATAAAAATATTTGAAAAAAAAAACAAAAAATGTTGAAGCGCTGTGCCACACGCGTCGCGAGCCAATTGCGGCACGCACGTAATTTCAGCAGCCACGCGGATAGCGACTCGAAAGCGCGCCTGGGCATTATCGGTGTGCCCTTCTCGAAGGGTCAGGGCAAGGGCGGTGTAGAGCGTGCGCCTGCATTGCTGCGCGAAAATGGGCTCGTACCGCTGCTCGAACAGGTGTCCTATGGTAAGTGACCGAAAGAAATTTCAGCGGTATTTCATTTGAATGCAAAAACTAAGTACATACATATTCGCGTTCTCAACCGTCCAGGCAATTTGCAAGTGCATGACTATGGCGATCTGCAATTCGAAGTCGATCCTATACCGACAGAAGCGCCCGAATACCGCAACATTAAGAACTATGGTGAATTTATGGGCTGCAATAAGGCGCTGATCCGCAAGGTGCAAGAACTGTTGCAGGAGAACGATCAGTTTTTGACTATCGGCGGTGATCATGCAATTGGATTCGGTAAGCAAGAAACGCCACTGAGCGGACGGTGTTGCAAAGTTCATTAAAAAAAAGAAAAGTAGTGAATTTATTGCGCTCTAAAGAGAGGCCTAAAATTTAGTTTTAGTTTTGAACCTAACCGAAATTGATTGATGCAAGAGAATAACTGATAACGGTGCATGGTATATTAACTAAAATTACAAAGCTCACAAGTTTTAAAAATTTACGTTTTATTTTTTCTTGATACATATTTAATTTTAGTTTGAGTTTTTATAAAAATATACACCCCTATTGCGAATGTCGACCAATAGTAGATAAACGACTGTTATTCGATTATCGCTTTTCCATGATATTGTGAACGTCGTTGTCTAGTTCAATATATCAGTGTGAATAAATTATAGGCGCTCATCCTTATACAAATAAACAGTTTGAAGGATGAGCGACTAAAAACTATTCACAGTCGCTTATTGAACGAGAAATTGACATTCACAATACCATGGAAAAGCTATATTCGAATAATAGTCGTTTATCTACTACTAGTTGACACTCGCAATAGGAGTGATAGTATATTCTTCAACAAAAACCGTATGAATCCAGGACTCGAATCGCCACATACGATATCGTACTACTCGTCAGGTAAAACCAAATTTTTCGGATTATGACATGCGTGAACGTACTTTTTGTCCCATTCAGCTTATACTGGCTGACGTATCACGTAATTTTCTTTCGTATGGTTTTCGACCCGTGATCGGATGTTACGATTCGAGCCCAGGTTTTAATCTTTGTACATACAAATATTAGGAAAATTGAGCAGACATCCGTAAAAGCTTTTTTATTGGATATCTTAGAAAGATTTTGAGTATGCAGGGCTCGAATCGTACCATACGTCACGTCATACTCGTCACGTAAAAAACAATTTTCGCATTATGACATACGTGAACGTACTCTTTGTCCCATTCAGCTTATACTGCCGGACGTGTCACGTAATTTTCTTTCGTATGGTTTTCGATCCGTGAACGGGTGTTAATTCGAGCCCAGTTTTGTTGCCCATTAAATTTAAGAGCAAGTTTGAAATAGCTAGAACTTACAGTGTGTTCGACGATTTTTTAAAGGGAAGAAAATGAGCAACACCTTCAACAAAAAAAAAAAAAAAATTTACGGTAAGCCATAGGTACTTCAAGCTTGCGCTAAAATTTAATTGACTACAAACTGAGTACTGAAAATTTTTCTAAGATATCGTAAGTCTCATAAAAAACCTCTAGAACTTGATTTCCCAAAATTTTATTTTTTACACATTCATGTTTCTGGCAAATCTCAGCAGCCATTTCGAAAACACCTTATCTCAGAATTTGGTTGAAGAACGCCCTATCTCAGAATTCGGTTCAAAAACACCCTATCTCAGCATATTTTCAATATGTTTTCCGATGAGATAGGGCGTTTTTCAATAAAATTATTAAATATGGCGTTCTTGAAAAGTTTTCTGAGATAGGGCTTTTTCGAACTGGCTGCCGAGATAGGTCTTCCACTCAGTAATATAATAAAAAAACCTGAAATTTTTTACAAATGTTGAATTTTTTTTTAAATATTGCACACCCTTTGAAACTTGGAAGCATACGGTTTTTTGAAGAATAAACTATGTTTTTATGGAAAAAATAACTAAAATTAAGCAATAACCGCCTAAGTCGAAAAATCTGAATTCGAGAAAAAACATTTTAAACATTTGGATCGTAATGTTATCCTTAGGGGGAAACCAAAATATGTTTTAAATAGGGATTTCACACAGAATACGATAGCATATATAACTCAATTCTTTCTTAAGTCGACTTAGGCGGTTATTGTTTATGACCATAGATATAACAATTATAAAATTTATATTTTTTACTTTTAATTTTTTCCTGTTTTTAATTTTATTTTTTAACTTTTTTTGTATTTATATTTTTATATTATTTTATTTTTCTTTGGTTTTTTATATACTTTTTTAATTTTTTAATTGCTTTCAGCCTTGGTTTTTTATTCTTATTTTAGTGAGTATCATTTTTCCTTCATAAAGGGGAATTTGTTTAATACCCTAATATAGAAAGGCTCTATCTAACATTTTCGTTTCCTTACAGAGTAGTTATAGGTACAACTTATTATTATTAATTTATAGATGTAGTAGTTGGTTTTAAATTTGATCAAGTCTTTAGTGAGTAATCTACCGACTTTTTATTTTTAATTCAGCAACACGTTGTGAAAATTCACTATAAAAACGGCGAAAATAGACCAATGCAGATCAGACTGCACTTTTTAATTACGCGCCTTGTCCTTAGAAAACTATGAACTGAATGAATCAGCCAATCTTATCGAGCATTTCATATGAATTTACCGGTCTCACAAATTCGATAGCAAACCATCATATGTGTGCTGTTTTTTAATTTATGGGTCGATTATGAATAGCAAACCAACATCAGTTGAGTTGCCGAAGGGCAACGCCACTGCAACGAAAATGTGTATTATGAATAGCAACTATAGTTAAGTGCTGCAAAGTTGAAAATAACCAAGTTTTGAGGTGCCAGCAACCACGATTTGAGTGTAAATAAGCCGTGGAAACAGTTAAAAAATAAATAAATTTTCACAATCAAAATTTGCGCGGCAACCACAAAGGTGCAGTTGCCAGTATAGCAACTCAGTTGCCAGTTACCATCTGTAACACAATTTCAGCCACTGGCAACGCAAACTGAAGTTGGGTTGACATCCGTAATCGACCCATTATATAGACCGCTGCAGTTCACTTCCGAGTGAATTTCAACAACGGAAGTGAATTGCAGAAACTGCCTGATAGAAATATACAGGGGGTGCAAAAATTAGTATTAGGTGATATTTGTTAAATATTTTTTTGCTGATTCTTAAAGTTAATCATTTTAATGGAAATTTGTATGGTTTTGGTTTAAGCACGAAAATAAAATAAAATATAAAATAAAAAAATAAAAAAATAACAAAAAATTAACTTTAAAAACTTTGCAAATATTTAACAAAAATTACGATGTACTCATTCTTGCTCCCCACTGTACTTTTGAATAGAATTCAGAAGATGTCGGCTGTAATGATCCTAATTTATGTCTTGTTGCAGGTACATTTATGAATTAAGACTGCAAAAGCTGAAAATATCCCATCATAAAATTATGTCCATTCTTTTTTAAGTAATCTAAAATTTTATTTATTAATTTCTTAAAGTTTATGTCATGATTCCCTACCTTAGGCTCCGTTGCCGGCCACTTGCAGCACACGCCCAATCTATCGCTGGTATGGGTGGACGCACATGCGGACATCAATCTGCATAATACCTCCGAGTCGGGTAATATACATGGCATGCCGGTGTCGTTTCTACTCAAAGAATTACGCGTCTTCTGGCAGCATGCGCAGCTCGAAAAAACGGCGCCTGTTTGGTAAGTCGCAATAAAAAAAGCTACAACAACTTGTAATATAAGAAGAAAAAAATCATAAAATACATATATGTATCTACATTAGGGTGGTCCAAAATAAGTAAAGGAAGAATTTGAAACTCTCACCTCCTATGTGAGGTGATATATATCGAAATAATATACCCCTATTTTGTATTTTGAAATCAAAAAAATATTTAGAGGTCGCTGAAAGTGCTCAAAGTTTTCCATGAATTTTATATGGGCAAAAAAAAACAACTTTTCGTTGAAATGGTATGGAATTCTTGAAAATCATAAGAGCCTAAAAATTCCGACTTTATTTTTTCACATGCATTTTTAGACCACCCTAATGTACGTATGTACATCCATCTGCATGTAGTATGTAGGCACACCCCTGACCGACAGCACTCAACGTAAAACTACAAACATATTTACATATTCTCTCTCAATAAACCTTGTTTTGTTCTGCACATAATTTTTGCGCTATCAGCTGGCAGATAAGACCCAGAAAAAATTAAGGAAACAAAGTTGATTTGATTTTTTTTTTTTTGCATAGAAAATAGTTTATTTTGATGGCTTTGAGTTTTAGAAAATAAAATGCAAACGATGTTTAAAGATTTGTTGAAAATCAGCAGGGCTTGAATAAGCCCGACGTGGGTCAGCATCATTTTACACTTTGCGATATCAGCTGTTCAATTTCGCGTATATTCCACATTTTCTTCATACGAATTTTATCCTTTGAAATTTGCGCTTCTTCGCAAAATTATTTTTTTGCTGCTGAGTAAAATTGGTTTAGTTCAGGAAGCAATCTTCATAGCGCTTTTGATGGTCAATTTATTTCTTTGCTGTCGCGAATTCTGTTAAAATCTCGTTCTCGTTTTGCGAAAAGCAACAGGAATACGTAACAATACGGAACGGAACGGTAGTTAAGACAGTTTTTTTTCCTGTTCGCAACAGAAAAATTTCCTTTTTCTGCTCCCCTTACGCGTTCACCATTTGCGCCTGCGTTCTTTTGTCTTCTCAATATGCATACAAATTTTCGAAAAAAAAGTTTATAAAACATGTGAAATTTATTATTATTTTTAACGGCATTACTATATATAAATATTATATATATATTTACTCTAAATATATCACAATGTTGTTTTTTTTTTGCAAAAATACGTACTTCATACAAAGGTTGCACCTAACATTCACAGTCTTATCAGCATTGTACATAAATATGTTAATTTACTTAAATCTATTTGTACTTCTCAAGTAATTTTTTTATTGGAATATGTTTTCGTTTTTTTTTTTACAACTGCTAAGCAAAAATATATTGTTTAAAAGAACCTTTAAGTAAATTAGGTGAAACCAAAAAGTTAATTTTTTTAAATAAACTAGAACTTTTTTAAAAGTCATAAAAAAAATACTTCCACTTCTAATTGGCAATCAAATAAATTAAAAATAGCAAACTCAATCGATAACCAAGCTTACATATGTATGTACGTATTTCCTTTTTAAGAAAAACTCATCTCTAAAATTAACATAATTTTAAAAAGGAAAAGATACAGAAAAAATTATTTCCCACTTTTAAACTTACATTTTGCGCATCAAATAATTACCACTATATGTAAATACAATAATAAAAGTACATTGAAGAAAATAAGTTCTAATCTAATTCAAATAATACACATTTCTTGTGCTTAAAAGTTAGTTAGAATGGCATAACTTAAAAGCTTTTAATTGCTTGCAAAAAAAAAGTTATTTAAGTCTAGTAAGTGCTTTCAACAAAAAATATTTCGTTTTCTAAAACTCATAATGCATACAAATTTAATAAATTTAGTAAGGAATTCAGAAAAACAATGCGAATTCGACACATCGAAATTAAGTTGCAATTTTATAATTTCTTGTGGAATGCAAGTCAAAGCTCGCAAGAGCTGGAGTGGTGGCTTACTTTTTGATGACAAGTCAAAAAATAACCGAGCAAGTGGTGGGTGTAGTTGGAGAAAGCTAAGAAAGGTTTAATACTTAAGTTTTTTGGTAAAAGCATTAATACTTTTTTCTCGAGAAGCGGGAGCTATTCGCAGTTTCCTCTTCAAATCACACGAAAGGTGTCGATTAATGATTTGTTGGGTTCTCTTTGTTCTTTCAAGCAGACCGTACATGTATACCGTTGAAGCTTTTAAGCCATTAATACAATGCACAAATAAATAAATAAATTATAAGTATATAACTTTACAATTACGTAATAAATATAATGACATAGCATATTAAACTTAAAATTACAAGTTTGGTAAAATTGTTAATTATGGGAAAATGTTACAATGCGATTTAGTTATGGGATCTGAAGAAAAAAAAAACATAAATGATTTGGTAGAAAATGACAAATATGCAAATGTATTAAAGTAGACCAGACATAAGTATGTAATTTGATTTTTGTGGAACCAAAATTCATAGAAGCTACTCCGAATTCCAAAGTTTTCACAAATGAAAACCAAATGCCTATAGTTTGTTTATTCTTTATCGCTTTTGGAAGTAAAATCCTACAATTTTTGAATTTCGAAAGAATTTGGCATTTTATTGAACAACGCCTTGTTTCAGAATTCAGTTCAAAAATTCCCTATCTCAGCAGCCCATTCAGAAACGCCCCATATCTCAACATATTTTCAGTTGAGATAGTTCGCTTTTGAACCAAATTCTGAGATGGGGCCATTTTTTAATCAAATTCTGAAGTAGGCGTGCTTAAAAAATTTTCTGAGATAGAACGTTTTCGAATCATTCCATTCGGCCGTCGATATGTAGTTTGTATACAAACAGAAAACACGATCGAAAGGCACATATAACAGATGTATGTGTATCTTCGCCAATTTTTTTAATTTAGTTATCTGTTAGACTGAACATATTATCCTGCTTAACCATATTAATTAATTGTATGATAAAATGTCCAAAAACATATATTATTTTGACTTAGTTTTTGTTATTAATTATGTACAGCCAGTAACAAGAATGGATAAATTAGAAATATCTATTAAACGTGCGATATCTTGAATAGCGATTTTGAAATATCGCATTTTGAAATTAAAATATTTGAAAATAATTGCAGTTGGCTTTGCAATTGAATTTGAATTCAAATTACCTACAGAACCTGCCTGTATATTGTTTTTTTTTTTTTACTTTACTCAATCGGGTCTACGTTAATAATCACCATCATGATCGCCTTCGCTGCTTGAGTGGATGACAAGTGATTAATGAATGGTCGCTTGGTACGGTAACTTGAATTATTTTTGCTGATTGTCTTATGCTTTGTATTGTTTTTTTGTTCATATTTTTGCCAAAAATTATAAACAAGTCTTACATACGCTTACAAAAAATTATACACTAAATTTTTAACAAAAAGAATATAGATTATTAAAATATAATAATAATAATAATAATAATAATACAATTATAATAATTAAATACTTTGTACGTGAGCGGTTGGCGTTCAAGAAGTTCAAATAATCTGGGATTACTTTTTTATGGTTTTTATATATTGTTTATTTCTTTAACTGTGAAAATTAGCACACAAACACCTGTAAATAAACAAATCAGAATTAAATTAAAAATATTACAATACAATGTTTTGCAAAATGTACGACTAAGTAATTGAATAGAAGAAGAAAAATACAAACCGAGCGTTTTTTGACTCATTTAAGTAACTGTCGACTGATTTGGAGCAAATTGGGAGAAAACGAAAAAAGTTAAACATGTAACTGACAAGTGGTAAACAAACAGTGTTGTTGTTTTCATTTTATTTTTATTTCTTTGATGACTCGATACGGAGCACATCCAAAGATAACCAATAATGGGAGTGTTGAAAAGATGTAGGTACGTAACGCAATTCATAGAATAAAAAAAAAAAATTATAATAAATTTGTATGAACTATCAAGTATAAATACATACTTATAAGCCAATTAAGAAATATGGAATGCTAATTTTTCAAAATATGAAAAATTATATTAACTTATAAAATTTACTTACCGAAAATATACACAATACAGTTATACAATATACAGAGACAATATACAAAACTAGACTCAACAAATGCGTGAAATCGTGGGGAAAATACCGTTGTCATTATTTGTTCGATTCATTATCCGTTCATTACGTATAGCAGAGAAGAAACAGCTGCAAAAAAACTGAAAATTTGTTGGCGAAAAATTATCGTACACTATATTCAAACAAAAATACAAGAACATTTGTGTTCCAGTGTAAATAAACAACTGATAAATATTCTTGTTTAGCGATGGGATGTTGTAGTCGATGAATACGATACGATCAAAGAATTATAACAACAAATGAAAAGAGAGAAAATTAAATGGCAAGTGAGAGCACAAAAAGAAAGTCGGCGAAAGGGAAGCGTCACAAACGCACACAATTCACACAATACAGTATGTGTGCACATAAATAAGAACTGTGAGGAAAAGGAGTGTAGTAGCACATAATTTGAAGTAAAAGATGTGTGCTTTCGGGATTTTTTAAATTATTACTCGCATCGAATTTCATTAAAAACTTAAATCAATGAGCTTAAAACCACAAAGCGATTACAACCTAAAAGAAAAACGCTAGCGAATTCATTTTTTTGGTACGCAGCTGACAAGTATTACAACGCTATCAAATGAAGAAACGGATTTGAGAATTGAAAACTAAATAAAATAACGCTTAAAAATAAACAACATAGAATGGCGAAAAGAAAATGAAAAAATAAAACATTTTTTCTTTTCAAATGACATACATAAATCAATGGCACATCAAAAACCACAAATCGGAAAAAAAAATCTGAAAAAAAATTTAAAAATGAAAAATAGAACGAAATCGAAAATAGAAAAAATAGGAGTGACATCAAATCACCCAGCGAAGTTAAATCAAATCACTCGAACCAAATGAGAGAATGCAAGTAACGAAACTGAAGCGCAGAATTAGTGCAAAAAACACATACAAAAACATATCTAAAATAGAAGAAAGTTAGAAGCTAAATCAAATA